CGATAATCAGCATCAGTATAATTCTGTCAAAATCAACAAGATCACCAATGTCATACTAATCTCCAATTTTTATTTATTATTTTTTTTATAAGTAATCATTTGTTTCATTAATTTTTTTATTTTTTATTTTTTATTTTTTATTTATTATTTTTTTATTTTTACAAAAAGGCTCTTTGGAAGATTCGTCTGACACCTCCCAAATTGCTTGAGTCGTTTTGGATTGTGTCGAGTTTTAATCCTTTTATTGGATAGCATTATTTTTGGGTAAATAACACCAACGGTTCTCAACCTTTCATGTCATTCGCAAATATGTCCTCAACCTAACTTTGTGCAAATTAGTGTCATTCGTCCAAATAGATTATTTTCATCGATTTTGTCAATAGTCAAACCACTTAGTTAGCATATTCAAAACTTAAAAATTGTCCTCCTCTATCAATAATCCTTAAATAAAGCTTTCGAATAGATTTTAGGCCTCTCGGTCAAAGGAAATTTATCCTTTAGTCTTGATGTATTATACCCAAGATAACGCGATCTCTACCGGATATTACTATAGAATTTGTACTACTTTTTAGACTTGCTAGGGATGTGAATTTAATAAAGCGAGAAGCATTGCTTTGATAATAAGAGCGATACTTGTTAAATATCATCAAAAAAATTTAGAAAATATGAAAACTCATGTAGAACATTTGTAAAAATATTTAATATTATTATATAATTTAGCCTATGTTTGATAGTCATTATTTATAATCTCTTTAATTTTCATACATATTTTCAACTACATAATTACAATAAAATATTTTATATGTAAATTTAAAAAAAAATTCTTACTTTTGAATTACATATTCTCGAAAAAATCAATATTCAAAATTTTTTTAAAATAATGGTTGTCAAACGGCAACTTAGCCTATATATAAATATTAAATAGTTATTTTCTTGAGATTATGTAGTTAAAAAGAAGGAAAAATTTCGTGTAAATTTTTTTTATGGAGAATGTAATTGAAAATGAATTTTTGAAAAAATTGTGGCAAACATAGGCTTAATTATAAATTCACGTCTTCCCAAAACTCAAATTTTGACTGACTCGTCCATTAAATTAAGCCCCTGTTTGGCAGTGTTTTGTTGAAAAAATGAGTGTTTGAAAAAAAAAGAAAATTTTTCGATTTACGTGTAATATTATTTTATGAAAGATTGTGTGATTAAAAATAGAAAAAAGAAAAATAAAATGTAATGTAATATAATTTAATAGGAATCAAACAAGGGCTAATTATAAAGTCAAGTCTTCCCAAAACTCAAATATTGACTGACTCTTCCATTAAATTTGAATTTTGACCTTGGTGGCTCATTAGCCAATACTTGTCCGTTTGGTTCTGTACATGGAAATATTATTTTTTAATATATATATATATATATATTTTTTTTTTTTTTTTTGCGCCAA